CATCCTTTCTATGTCTTGTTCTTTGTAATTTCTTGCCCAAATAAGGGCCTCCTTGTAATTATTCAAATTTATCTTAATAAAACAGTGTTAGGGTGCTGAGAGGGAGTAATGTTTGAAACTCTCACTCTCAAAAACCCTCATTGCCGAACTCTCAAGGTCTGTTTTCTCAGTTTTCTTCAAGGATGATTGGTAAAACTAGAAAGGATAGGGTCAGAAGCAAAGTCATGCAACAGAACCTAGGAGTAGCTCCAATAAGTGATAAAATGAGAAAAGTATACTAAGGTGATTGGTCACATGCATAGAAGACCATCTACAGAACCCGTTAGAAGAAGAGATCTATTACAAGTTGAAGGGGCTAGAAGAGCTAGGGGCAGATCAAAAAGGACTCCGGTGGAAGTAGTAAGAAATGATTAAAGCACCCATAATTTGAAGAAGAATATGGCACTGAACAGAACTGAATGGAGAAATAGGATTCATGTAGCTGACCCCATATTGGACAAGGCTTAGATGATGATGATGATGATGATGATGATGACCATAGCCAGCAATTATAGTAGAAGTTATTCTTGCTTCTTCTTCTATTTTCTCTTCTTTATTTGATTGTTAATACTTAATACTTGTGGCTGAAGCCTATTGCTGTATCTTAGAAGTCTTCTTCTTCTGGACCCTACTATTGTTGGTAAAAGTGATGAAGGCTGTGTTTGGAAACAGATTCAGTAGTTTATTGACCTTTAAAAAAACAATTTGAAAAGTCAATTTTAAAAAATGGTTAACAGTGTTTGGTGAACAAGAAAAAGGGTTGGGTAAAGACACTAAAGGTGCCTGTTCCATTCTGTATGGATGGCATTGACAGAGAACGGAAATGTATAGCATCATCAACTTCAGAGATAGCAATTTTGGTGTATGATCTCCTAAAATACCAACCACTTGGAGTTAAATTTTGATGGCTATAGTAGGGGAAATCCAGGACCCTAGGGTATCATGGAACTTTTAAAGATTAACAAGGGATAATTCTAGCTTCGTATTCGGGACAAATAGGATATGGAAACTCTATAACAGCAGAGATACTAGCAGCATTACAAGGTTTAAGAGTCAGAAGATCCTTAAATCATAGAAATAAAGTAGTGGAAGACTCCAAGGTGGTGTTGGGCTAAATGAAGCTCAACTAGTTATGCATATGACAGTATAGAGATATCATGAGAGAAATCAGATGCCTGGTGAGGGAGCTGCAAGTTACTTTTTCTTGAGTCCAAAGATCTGCAAATAGCTTAGCTGATGCAATGGCTAAGGCGCTAAGCAAAGGGAAAATAAGGAGGTTATGCTTTTAGGTCATTTAATAATGTAATGAATTAGGTGACTATCCTGCCAGTGTAAAAAGAGGGTTGCTTGGTATTTCTGTAAATATCTCATTATTTTTCTGAGTTAATAAAATTCTCACAGTAATTAAAAAAAAAAACCACATTACCGGTTTTGGGCAGTTTGAAAATCAGGTGGTTGTTTAGTTTCATAGACCCATCCAGGAGCAAATATGGCAGCTGACACATCATTCTTCTTTAGTACATCAAGTGCAACATTTGTCTGGCATGTAAAAATGATTTTTTATTATTTCTCAAGAAAATATTCATCATATTAAGAAAAGAGCCCTAATGTGACATGAATTAAATCAATTTCAATGGAAGAAGGCCTTGAAAAATCATTCATTTTAAGATTGACAAATAACAAATTTGCAACATGCAAAAAGGTCTGGCAATAAAAAAGCAGTCAGATTGCTTAAGGAGCTTGGTGTTTGGTCACACACCATTAAGAAATGACATGTGAAATCTGGAAAATTAGATAGACAAAACAAGCCATTTCAATTGTCAGTTGTAACATATAAGTTATCAGAGGTTGTTATGTTTAAGTAGTGTTTTCTTCAATCATTTCTTACTACTTCTACCCATGTCCTTTTTGGTCTAAACCGAGCTCTTCTAGCCCCTTCAATGTGTAACAAATCACTTCTTCTAACTGGCACAGTTGGTGGTCTTCTATACACATGCCCAAACCATCTAAGTCTACTCACTCTCATTTTATCACCTATTGGATCTACTCTTAGGTTCCTATGCATAACTTCATTCCTAATCCTATTTTTCCACTCATCCATCTTTTTTTTTTTTTTTTGAGAAATGTTAACCAAGATTCATTAATAAAAAAAGAGGTACATGAGGAGATGTACAACGCAGGGGAAGAACCCCTACAAACTACAATGGAGGAAGCTTGTCGCTATATAGCTGCTCTAAGAATACACCACATTTAGCCAAGCCATCTGCTGTACGATTGTGTTCCCTAGGAATCCAAACTAACTTTACATTTAGGCAGTCCAAGGAGTCCCTGGCCTCATCTAAATAGTGACTCAATCTCCAAGGCCCCCCTCTTTATCTCTTAATCATTTTATAGTATTTTCTGAATCACCTGCTATTGCAATATTTTTAATTCCCAAGCTTTTTTTTATTCTGATTCCTGTGAGTGCAGCCATTACTTCAGCCTTTGTGGAATCCGCCACGCCTATTGGACCACTGAAAGTCCAATAGATGTTACCCCTTTCATCCCTTAGTGTTCCTCCAATACCTGCTAATCCAGGATTACCTAAAGCGCTTCCATCAAAAGTTAATATCATATCACCTTCACTGATAGGTTCAGGAACCCTCAAAGATGATTGGTGGTGGTGAGGGAGAAATAAGAAAGGATCTGAATTCATCCTCCAGAGGTTGCATTGGTAAGAGATGTTTGAAATTAATTCCTCCAGGGGCCTTGATTTATTGTCAAAAAGCCTTTTGTTTCTTTCATCCCAAACACCCCACAGCACTGCGTGTAACACTGATTGCCAAAAACTTTTACCCCTCTTACTTAGACCTGTTCCTTGCAACAGATGTATAAAGTCCTTCACATACTTTGGTGTAGCCCAACTGTAACCTGCCATAGTCAGAAAATGGAACCAAATCTTTTGGGTGAATTTGCAGTGAAGGAAGATGTGATCTGCTGATTCTCCTTCACTGAGGCATAATAAACAAACATGAGGGGAGATAGACAATCTTCCTAGAACTTTTTTTGCAGGTCACAAGTGTTAACTTTCTGGAGGGGATGTGGCTGCACCAAATCTTCTTAGAAGGAAAGGGGGGATGATGTTTGTCAGTAATCAGAGCCTTAAACATAGACTTAGAAGAGAATTCGCCAGTGGGGTGCAGGGTCCAGATTCGGGTGTCGGGCTTGGAGGAGGAGATGTAGGCTTCTTTAAGGGTCTGAATTAAGGTTATTAATTCAGAAATTTCCAAATCCCTTAGGGGTCTTCTGAACCGAAGGTTCAGTGTGTTCTCAACAGTTTGGTCTGGAAGGCAAGCAGAAATGGTGGTTTCTTGGTCAAGGGTAAGGGTAAAAAGTCTAGGGAAGGAGGCAGCAAGGGTAGATTCCCCCCACCAAAGGTCTTTCCAAAATTTTATTTTTGATCCATTTCCTACTTTATATCTTATGAAAGGATCCACTCATCCATCTTAGCATTGGCATTTTTGCCACACTCATTTTCTGGACATGTGCTTTCTTGAATGCCCAATACTCTGCTAGATCAGAAATGATCTTATTAGAAATTATAAATATAGTTGTTGATATTATGCATTGTGGGTACGGATATTTATGTCTTTTCTCTTTTTTGTATTTGGGTGCCCATTCAAGGGAGTAGTCAATCAAGACTACAGTCAGTCTTGAATTCCAATAGATTTCGGATTGAGAAAAGTAGGAGGGAGAAGAAAGGAGAAGAAGCAGAAGTACACAAGGGTTTTGAAAGGAGAGACAGATCGAATAAATCTGCCGCCACCACTCTCTCAATATTTATAGTTTATGTTCACTAAATGTAGGAAAGGACAGAATTGCCCTTAATGCTTACATGGCAAATAAAACAAATAAATAAC